GCCCTGACAGTGTGCATACCCCTCCAGCTTTTTTTCCCCCCCCACCGCATGTTTTACCATCCACCTCTCTTTCGACAAGCTCACCAGTTGTGAAGGGGTCATATTTATCTTACTAATCATTCTCACTTTGCATTCCACTGAAGATTTGGGGTTTCATTTAGAAAGTAAGGCAGGGCTTTCATTGAAACATGGAGTCATCCACACTAATGACTTGCAGAAGAGTGCTCCATCTCCTCATCTGAGTAAAGATAAATCAGATTTCAGTTTAGGAGCAGCTCAGGACCAAAGACTTTAAATGTGGCATGATTACAAAAGGAGAGAAAACTCTTCAGGCAGTGAAATCCTGCCCTCTGGTGTCCAAAACATCTCACCCATCTTGCAAAATAAAAGGGTGCATTAAAGAACACTCACATCTTTTCCATGAATCAGAGTAGTTTTTGAAAGCAAATAAAATTTTATAATTTATATATAATGCATAGCCATATAACTTTTATATTTTATAAATAATGAAGATTCAAATATGTGGACAAAGCTTGTGGCACAAACTAACTGATGGATCACCTCCTGCTGCAGTGTGAGCACTCTGATGCTCAGCAGAACCTTCTTAGATTAAGTAAAAAAGAACATTTCTAAAATTTTCATTTTCTTTAAAAAAATAAAAAAACAGTTTTAAATATCAACCTTTAGTTTGACAGACTGCATGTGATGTAAATATATTAACTTGCAATTACAGCAGAAATGAACAAAGTACACCCAAGCTGTAATAAGTTCTAAGAACAATATTCTGTACTTCTTTAAAAGTTGTTTAATTCAAATCAAGTAAAAACATATGTGCCAAACCTTTTTCTATCCTGTTTCTGAGGGAAAAAAACTATTTCTAACTGAACATAGTGACAGTTGTCCATTTTAAACTTTTTAGATTTAGAAATGCAAAATCATGCATTACTAAAGACAGAACCTAGGTGGATTTAAGTGTGGACTTTAGGATGATGACAACATTTTCATTTTGTTTTTCTTTTCAGGATCTTTTAAATGTGAATTTGCTAATAAGCTTTATGTTAATCTCATGCTGCATAACCCATGTGCACTCAAATTGAAGGCTATAAGCTAAGGGCCAGACATCCTCCTACAGGGTTTTCTGGTAAAATAGCATAATCAATGGTTCCCTTTAAGCCAATGGTCCATGTCTTGAAGAAGCAAAACAGTCATATAGTATCACAAATTTGTTGTAGGCCAGCGAATACTAGATAATTTCAGTGTTTCTTTTTTTTTTTAGTACCATTTGTTTTAATGGCTCCCATGATGATAGCCATGTAAAAAAAAACATGTGTGTACTATGGTTGTCATTGTCTGATTAGTTAATTCATGATTTGAGACATTTAAATGTGGGAAAATTATCAAAAAGACAAGAAATCTGTCAGAGGGTAGCACAGCATAATACATCCCAACTACCTTTGCCTGGGATTTTAAAAATATTTTAAATGTGACAACTGAAATGCAAAGATGAGCCCTTTAAGTGACATTTGCTTACCGCACACAAACCCTTAAAACAAATCCATCCTAAATTTCTTGGTTTGGCTAGCATTCAAAGGACTGTCTTTTGAAGAATCTCATAGTGATACACCTTAATAATTATGCTCCTACACTGATTGGGCATTAAAGAATAATTAAAGTATTAATTAAAGCAAAAAAAAAAAAAAAAAAAAATCAAATAAAACAAACCTACCCTCCATGTCAAACCAAACTGATCCAGTAGTTCATGCTGTCAGGAATCCAGTTTGTGTGGTCTGTTTTTGTGTTTCCTTTTTTCCTCCACCAGGTGGTGCCCCGTCCTCATTGGGCCTACCTGCACACCTGCAGCTCCTTGCCTCATTACCTGTGGAGTGTTCTAAAGCTGATGACTGCCACTACCTTGACGCTAGAGTGTTTACCAGTTTGGGGTACTCTAGCCATGCTTAGTTTAACAGAGTCTAACCTGAGTTTTGTTTTGCCACTTTGGGTACTCTAGCCAAGCTGAGTTTGGCTAAGTCAAATGGAGCTTTTTGTTTACCTGAGTTTAAATATTGCTGTTTTTGTCTTTGCCTCTCGGCAGGAAGTCATCCTGCAAACTGGATGTTTGGGACCTTAACTCCCCAGGAAGGATCTTCTGAGAACCAAACTGAGCTGAGGGTTCAAGTTTGTGGTTTGGATCAACCTTTTACCCCAAGGATCGTCTGGGGCTTCTCTCTGAGCAAAGGATTCATCTCCACAATAACCCGTTCAAGTACCGCAGGAAATCTAAGTGGCAGTCAGCTTCTCCGTTCACCAAGGAACAACCGCAATCTGGGTAAAACCTGTCCACCCTCCATCAACAAGACAATCACTGGAACATCCCACACAGACTGGATTCAATGAAGGACACCTTTTTCTGGAAATGTGAGTCTGCAACCTATTCCTCTTCTTAAAGTCTTCAAGATTCTAATTTCCCACTGAGCCTGAACTAACTGCAATGCTTTCCCTAACTTTCCAGTTCCGGTTCGACAGTGTTCAGAGCAGCACTGGACTCTTCTCATTATTCTAATAAACCTGTTAGAATAACTTTTCCCTGGTCTCTCTGTTTGGTCTTCTGCATTTGGGTCAGATCTTTAGTTAAATCATGACACATGCAGATCAGGTCAGCAGGTCAGCAGGCATAAAAAATACTATACTTTTCAGACAACTGAATCTTTTTTCAGTTATTTTATTTTACTTTATTGCATATAATAGACCAAAAAGAAAACAGATTGAAAATACAAAAACTACACAATTGTCATTATTACATAGTATCAGCAAATAAAACATGATTATGCCAGAAGATGGAATTCCACTTTAGGGGAGGCAAAGCCAAAAGATAATAGTTACACAAAATGGCTTACCGGTAATTGGTTTTAAATACAAATAAAAAGGTATAAATTGATCTCCAAAACTTACTCAACATTTGACATCTTCATATATGTAACAGAGTATATATTTAACCTGATTCTGTGCAAAAGTGGTCACAAAGATCACCAACATTAAGCTGTATTTAAGCAGATTTAACATTAGACAAATGTAAACAGTAGACTTATTTAAAATGAATAACTCAGTCTTTCACAAATGGAAAATTATTATATGCTGTCAAGAGCAGTGTAACACAGCTCCTCTGTCATCTGAAGTCACATTAAAGTCTCTCACCCATTTCGTTTTTAAAATATTTAGAGGTTTTAAATCAACTAAGCAAAGAAATGACTATTTCCAATTATCTGTTGTGACCACGGTTTTATTGTTAAAACTGCATCTAATAGTGATTGTGTCGGGAGCAACAGAAAAACCCCTTAGATGTAATAACATGAAGCTACGAGGTGTAAGATACCGGGCAAAAGTGTAAATTTGGGAATACCAAAGCAAACAAGTATTCAAGTATCGCTTTCAAGGGTCCAGGGTGTAACCTGTCTCTTGCCATTAGAAACCCAGAGATAGACACTGAGATCATTATAACCCTAATGGATTAAACAGGACTGGATGGATGGAAGAATCAAAATAGACAAATTTAATCTTGGGTTTTTGTTTGTCCTAATGACCCTATTAGTCTACATTAAATCTAATGACCTCTTTGTATTAATTAGGAGGTAAACCTAAACCACTCAGTCCTCAGGAGTAGTGCTTTGATTACTTTTATATTGACATTATGACTATGGATCTGGGAAAACCCATTCAGTCTTGACATCCAAGATTTTGCTGGGTGAGTGACTTCATAGCAAAGTCTAGCTGGTCCTCTCAGTAAGTGTTTAATTTAACTAAAAGATCTTGCCCAAGCCACGCTGGGAGGGTAGTTGGAAAAGATGGTGATGGATGCTTGGTCATAATTCAGAGCACCACCTGTATACCTTGCACAGCAAAATATTTCCTCATAGTCCTGGTAGTTGTGGAGCTTTTCAAAACTCGGAAAATGTTACCCCTTGGCTTATTGGATTTGCCAGGTTTGGTGCGATCTGTCAATAGGTATGTCTATATCCATATCTAGAACCTCCTTCAATAGCTTTGTAACAGAAGTTGTTGTGCATTTAGTAGCTTCCTGATTTGACCAGTATATATAAGGTGTACAAATATTTGATCATCTCCTTCTTCCTTCTATATCGATGCATTTCTCTTGTAGACTTTTTGATTCCTTCTTGAGTGTGCTGACAATACTGTAGACTTTCCATTCCATATATTTCCATATCTTTCACTTTCCCTTTCATCAGCTCTAGGTCTGACTAGAGCATAGCGATGTGTAATTTAAAATGTAATTTAAAATTGTATGCACCGTGATCATCTATCTTTCTGGTTCTTTTCCCTGAAAAGAGATCACTCGGGACAAACTCTTAAATAACTCTTCATAACTTATATGTATTAAATAACTAGGAAACATTGCAACAGGTTCTGATAGAAATTGTAATCTTACTCAGATCAGAGAAATTGCTTAGAATGGACAGAAGGCGGCTGCTCATCTCCGGGCTCACCTCTCAGGAAGTGGCCCCGATTAATAGTTAAAAAGGCATTTTATACATCTCCAGTCTGCCACACCATATTTACATCATACACATTAGCAGATGATTAGACATCCATGGCTCCAGCCTTATCAAAATTTTACACTTTGTTCTTAGCTGAAGGACACCGCTCTCAAATCTTTGCCACGTACAGAATAAAGATTATAACTGTATATCCAGACAGAGGAACTGTCCTAATTAGATTAAATATTGTGGGAAAAAACATCAGTTCTGACATGCAACAGACAGCAAATACCAAGGTGTAATAAACACAAATCTTCAGTGATAATTATCCTAACAGTTGCATCATACATAATGATGTAGCCTAATACAATGGACAATTTCTTCTAAGTAACATATAGTCATTTAGGGGAATCTAGGTTTGGATAACCACTGACTGATGGTGTAAGTCTCCTACATTAAGTCTTTGTACCTGAGAGTAGATTATAAATAGGAGAAAAATAGTGACTGCATAATTTTCTCTTAAAACAATTTAAGAACGAATTTGTTTTTATGAACAGTTCTTGCATGGCATCATTGTCTCTGTGATGAAGATGAACCAGCAAAAAAGTTTTATGTAAGTAAATTAGGTATATCATTAGATCCTTTTTATTTTCTAAATTGTATCAGTTCACATAAATTATTAAGCACATAGTAAATTAACTTAGGTTATATGAGGCTGGGAGGAAGGATAAGCAACTTATCCGTAAGGTGATGTGTATACAGTCTGTGAGGATTGGCTGCTGCTCTGAGATTGCTTTTGGTCCTCTGGAAGGATCTTGCTGGAGAAGTAGTAGTAAACAAACAGGAAGAATCCTACATGCAGAAAATGGATTGATTGTTTCTTTTTGTTATTCTGATATTATTCTGATTCAGGGCTGAAGATGTTTATTGTTATGTATAGGCTTACCTTGAAAAGAGTTAAGGATGGTGAAGATGTAGTAGGAGGGAAGGAGCATAGGACCGTAGCTAAAAAATGCAAACCCCCATGTAATTCCCAAAAGGCAAAATAAACCCAGAAGAGAGAAAATCCTTGTCTTGGAGGACTCCTGGGTTTTTTTCTCTTTAGATGCATAGTGTTTGATATGCACTATGGTTACTATAAATATGGTTAAAGTGAAGATGAACACAATGCTATAGTAACCAATGTTTACACCTAAGTGAATGGTAGAATCAGGGATCCAGCACCTGAAAATCATGAAAGAAATGCATTTATTTTATAGCACAACAATCGTATTTAGAATTCAAAATATTGCCAAAAGGTTCTTACATGTTTACTGAGGTGTCGTTATTGCCAGAAATTGTTACGTGATCATATTTGTTTGAGGCAACAAGTCCAAGCACCATAACAGCTGGAAGAACTGAACAACATTTGTTTTTAGGGATTTAATAATCTGCAGGCACACTATTTGTTTTTTTTTAAGTGATCTCTTACCCCATCCAGTGCAGCAAATCTTGCAAATGTAATATTTGACATCTGTGGGAATTTTGTGCAGATTGAAGTACAGGTGCAAAGCCTGCATGAAGAACCAAGTGAATGTGGCAAGCATGCTATAGTGCATAAACGCTGCCATCACCACACATGCTGCAAAGTTCTCCAGGTTAGCAATGGTCTCATTTAATAAAAAGCATAAGTTCAGGAAGAACAAGGCAATGAAGAGATTCATCAGGATCTGTACAGCTTGGGTGGCTTTAGTCTTCCTGCAAGGGGAATTCATCAATGTTAACAAAACACAGGAGAAAAAGAATCATTCAAATCAAACGCTATTTTTTAATACTTTTACCGTATGAGAAAATGCATGAAGATAGCCACACTCAGGAAAAATATGGACATGCCACAGCCGGCTTTTGTGATTTGGGTGAGTGCTTCCAAGTGAGAGGGACTGATGTTCTCACCTGATGTCTGGTTTCAAACAGGGACATATCTTTAATAAACTTTTTTTTTTCCTTTTTTTTTACATATCAAAATTGATTTAAATATTCATAAAAATCTCCTACCATGAGGATTGCAAAAAATGTAAGATGAGAGCATTGGCATGTGATGCTGCCGTTGGACTCTTTCGTCAGGCAACCATCTGTTATCCATTTTTCTTTGCCACCTGGGGGGCAGTCGTGGAAGGAAGGAAGGAAGGAAGGAAGGAAGGAAGGAAGGAAGGAAGGAAGGAAGGAAGGAAGGAAGGAAGGAAGGAAGACCTGCATTTATAGACTTACAAGATTTTCGAGACATGTAATGTGAAGTATAAACAAAAAAACACCTTCTTTACTTGTGCCATCCCAAGATACACAAGTAGCATTAGCTTCAGCCTGTATGGAGGTGGACAAAAAAAATCAGAATTACCGACACCAACTAAAAGTTATTATGAAAATAGTTAACCTCTCTCACCGTATTCACATCACGGAAGTGAATGTCGATGGTTTCTGAGAGGTTGGATATATTTACTCCCATATCTATCCCAAGAATTACGTTGTTTAAAAATAAACTGGTTTTGTTAAGCTGTTGAGATCAAAGAAATCACTGTTAATTCTTCCTGTATCTTACAAAAAAATATTACATTCTGATTTTACCTTCTCAATATCTGGGAAGCGCAAAACTCCCGCATATGATCCATTTTTTTTCACAGCCATTTCACTGGCTTCTTTAGAAAGACGTATTGTTTGCATGGAGCCAGTAACCACATCATCCTTTTCCTTAAGAATCGATCACAAACAGAGAATATAAAAGAAAAAATCAGATGGTATCTCAACATGTTTTTATTGTTCTGTTATAAAAGCTGGGTACCTCTACTTTCCCCCTTGCATCAAAGCCAATGTTGATGGTTGTCTTATTTTGTTGTGGTAGTCTTTGAATAACTCCAGAAATTTTCCCCATTTCAATGGTTGCTACTTGGGCGTTCCCCATCATGTCCACTATAGAACTCAGATTCTTCATTAAATTTCTGTAATTTTCCATTAACAATAACATTTTCTGACAATGCGATTAGATTGTGCCGATTTTTGTGCAATTTCTAAACCAACCTCACACATAACTTATACTTACGCTGCTTCCTCTGAGGTCAGAGGACGATCTGGTGCTCTAAAAGTTAGAGTTGTCCTTTTTTCTTCTATTTTCTTATTCTGTTTTCAAACCAAAATAGCGTACTTAGCTCAAAATGGAAAATGTCAGTATCATATTTCATTGTGGTGTTAAATGTGTATTTGATGGTTTTTCTTACAATCAAAATGGCAAAGAATGTTAGATGAGAGCATTCACACTTGGCTCCTTTGTCTTCCAAAGTTGTATTACAGCCGTCCATTGTCCAATTTGGATTGGTGTCTGGTTGAAGGCAGAAAAAGATAGGCAAAAGATTTAACTCAACTTAATATATAAAGAAAGATCACCCTCTTAGGATTTGTTTGAAATAAACTGTGAACTAAAAATCTGTATTCGCTGTGATAACCATGTCATAGATTAATATGGGGGAAAACCTGTTTTCCTCCATATTAAATTATTCTAAATCTAAAGTTTGATAGCAACAGGACCACCAGGGGAAGAGACATAAGCATTGCTGGTAGTCGAATCAGGCTTACCCTGCAGTCCATAAAGGGACAGAAGATTGACTTCCCAAGTGGGTTCCAAAAAAATAAAAAGCCGGTCTGACCAACAAATGTCGCATTCTTACTAAGGCTTTAATGTGAAATTACTGAGCAATTATGGTTTCAAAACATTGAATCCATCCATCCATATTTTCCTGTTTGATCTGTCAGGGTCGTGGTGGGGCCGGTGCCTATCTCCAGCACTGTATGGATAATTTCAATAAGAAGTTAAAGAGTTCCTCCTTCTTGGAGGATAGGAGTATAGGATGTATAGGGATAAAAACTGGCAGCAGGATGGAGCAGCGCTGCTGCCTAGCTGCAAGTAGCTCCTGGCAGAGGTGTCAGATAACAAAGTACAAATACTTCATTACCTTACTTAAGTAGAAATTTTGGCTATCTATACTTTACAGGTGTAATTATGTTTTAGACAACTTTTCACTTCTACTACTTAATTTGTTAGTTTTGTTTCATTTCTGCTCATTTTTGTTATGACGTGGTATTTAAAAAAAAAAAATAAAAAAAAAATAAAATAATTTGTTTCATCGAAACAATTCATTTCTTTGTGGTTGGACTCGGTCCTGCATTAAGTTGTTGTTCACCACATACCAAATTAAATGTTTTTCATGATGATGTACAGTTAAATTTGACACTTTTACCATTAGTTATAAAACTAAGAAACTTAGGTAAAAGGAAGTTATCATCCAGAATTGTACAAAAATGTTCCTTTAATAGCATAGTGCAGTAACCATTATAAGGTTTAATATTAATGTTTATTACTCAAGTAGAAGTATATCTTCCGCTGTTTAAAAACACTTTTTAATCAAGTAAAAGTGCCATTTTTAAAACTGCTTAAAGCATAAAAGTAAAAGTAATGCAGGAAAAAAGGTTAAGGACAGATGGTTTAATACTTTTGACAGCTCTTGTTCCTTGGTCGTACACTCTCTAGCCACTCTGGTTTCCTACCACAGTCCAAAAACATGACTCTTGGGTTTATTGATATTCCTAAATTCCTTGTGTCTGTGTGCATAGTTTTGTGCTTCTGCTCTGCGATAGACTGGTGATATGTCCAAAGTGTAACCATAGACTGCTGGAGATAAACTAGTGATAAACTAGTGGAAGATGGATGGATTGATTCCATTCCAAGCTTTTACAATAAAGACAAATCTCTAGCAGTGTGTCAAATTAGTCAAAATGTTGCAATTTTATTTTAAAACCTTAACCTTAAAATATTCTAAGGTCATTTGCACCCAACAAACTTACCTTCTCTATTTTTAATTGTCCATGATACACAAGTGTATTTTTGTTCAGTTTGCATCTTGATAAAACAAAAATAAAAATCAGAAAATTTCCTTTATCAAGGAAACAATGTTACAAATCTTGTTACCATCTCATTACCAATGTAGCATCTTTGTATTGAATTTTGATGCGTTGTGACAGATTCGATATATTTCTTCCCATTTTAATTCCCAGCACTTCATCACTGAAAAGGGAATCATTGGAGCCATTTTTCTGAAAATAAAATCATGGTTCTGATATTTGCAGTACAAAAAAAAAACTAAAATTGACATAACTCAAATCATAGCATAAATTCAAACTTACACCAATAATTCCTGGAAAAATCAGAATTCTGATGTGTGTTTCCTCTTGTTTTTTTGCCATTTCAATAGCTTCTTTTGGAAGGTTAATTTGTCTAGCGGGACCGCCGTTTTTTTTCTGGAATTCCCAAAAAAGCTGCCAAAAGCACAGTCAACAAAAAAGTGAAACAATTTTTTTAATTATCATTTTCTCTTTCGTTACCCAAAGCCCCATACCATTACATCTCCTCCAGCACCAAAGCCAAAGTTCATGTCAGCAGAATTTTCTGGTAGCTTAGCAACCACTCCAGTGACATTGCCTATTCTGATTGCTGCTGTCTTAGCTCCTCCCATCTGTTTGGTATAGTTATCCGCCAGGTCCATGATGTTTCTGTAATAGAAAAATAATTATATTAACATTCAGATATATAAATGTATAGCTTCATTGCCACATATAGTGTATGTTTTATGTTATTAAGTAAGATACTTACATTATTTCCTCTGTGTCTAAAGGTCTGCTTTTGTTTGTTTCAAACGTCATCTCTGGTTTAGACGGCATCTTTGATTTGAAACAAAAGAAGTCTTTTGCTCTCTTGCCCAACATCTCACCAGTAGCCCTCATAATTCAAAATAATCCAAACCACCTTACCATGACAACGGCAATAAATGCATGAAGAGGGCATCGGCAGGTGACATTTCCGGCTGTTGCATTGGTGTCACAATGATCCGTGGTCCAGTTTTGGCCTTGTGTACAAAAATAACCATAAAGACAATATTATAAGACACTAAATCAGAACAATGAGATATACTTAAATTTACAAACAAATGTATCACAATCTTTTATGGAGGGTTAATTGAAATACATTTACCATGAAACTGTGAATAAATGTACCATTAAACAACACATTGAAAAATTAATTTACCGTTTATCTACTTAATACATCACTAAATAATCCATTGTTTCTTTTAATAAAACCGTGAAATAAGTCTTTAAATATTTCATGACATACCTAATTGACTGGTAAAGGTCTTAAACAGTTCAATGCTGTTAAATTAGGAGATATAAAAGTACACCAATAAATATTAATCTGAATAATTTCTAATTTTCATAATATTTTTGAAATGTAAAAACCAAAGGTACTTTCTTGTAGTTGGGACTAAAGAGTCATTTAAGTCATTTCTATCACCCCCCCTTCTATTACCTCCACCCCCCTGCCCCCCCAAGATGGTTATTACAGGTCTTTATACCTCACAACATGACCTTAATTTGGGTACTTTTTTATTCTCCAGCATAACTTGAGAAAGCATGAAGTAATATTAAGAAAACTTACAATATTTTATATTTAAAAGGCTTTTATTTCTTACCTTTGCTATCAGATGATACACAGAAGACACTTTTTTCGCTCTGGAATAGATAGTAACAAGCAAGGATGGAAAAATAAAAATGAAAGTTTAACTTCTTTCTTAATAATTTGTAGGAAAGTTTGTTGCAACTCTTTACCGTGTCTACATTATTGTAGAGAATGTCAATTTTTCCAGAATGATTGGTTGGTCCTATTTTAATCCCCAGGACTTTGTTGTTCAAAAAAGAGCTATTTGACTGAAATTGCTGCAAAACAAAAATGGTGGATATTTATTAATGATATCAACATTTACAAAAACAGATATGAGATTATATCTCTTCTTACTTTAGGCATTCCTGGAAAAAGCAGAACTCCAATGTATTTGTCCTTTCGCTCTGATGTTATACTATCATCTTTCTTAGATATTGTAATGCTGAGAACGATATCCATCTCCACGTCATTGTTTTCCTTTAGAAACTTGGATGAGGAGAGTTATGTATTGATGAGTACTTAATCCACATACAGTATAAACACATTGTTATTCTCTTTATGTTCCTTATTCAAAAGAAGGTGCATACTTGTACTTCCCCATTGGATGTGAAACCAATATTCAATGTAGTCTGATCTTGATCTTGTTGTAGTTTAGCAATTGCCCCCGTTATTTCACCAATTTTAATGAATGCGGTCTCAGAATCTCCCATTGTGTCAAGGTAGGAGCTAAAATTGTTCATAATATTTCTGTAATGAAAACAAAATTGATTAGGGTAGCTCCTTGTCACTGATAACATTATGCAACTATTTTGCATTAATAATACAGCCTCTGTTAGTGTTCATTTCATCCTTGCATTTGTTTCACTAAAGAAATACATTTACATCGATTTATTTAGACTCATCTCATTGCTTAAGTGCTGAAAAGTTAGGTTCCGATGATTCCCAGCCAGGTCAGAAGCTTCACAAGGGATTGTTTTTACACAAGATGTTATTTTAAGTCCAAACTCAAACGTGTATTCAATCGGATCTGTCAATCAAAACACAAATGGTAAACCACCTCCATTTATACAGCATGTTTGTAGCCATACTAACCACTCAAAGCTTTAAAACCCTGCAGCCGTTATCACCCAGTCACACTCTCAAACAGATACATAGAAGTGTAATAGCAGGAAGCTTGGATTACTAAAGACAGTTATTCTTCCCATAGAGCCACAGCTCCCCCTAACATGCACACTAGTAAATACATTATATTGAGGAAATGCTTACAGAGATGTTTAATTAAAAAAAATGTTATAATAGAATACCTTGATGAGTCTGTGACTCATTACATAGTTTAGAACAAGGGTAACCCAGACTCATTCTGATATTTCTGCCACCTGCCAAAAAAAAATAAAAAATTGAACAAATATAAAAAAAAAAAAACAAAAAAAAAAAGCTATGGTTTTGCACAGGAAGGTTTGTAGCAGTAGAATATAGTTACCTGGATTTAAGCACTTGTGAACGTTTAATATAGTCTCTATAGAAGAATAAAGCAAGCAAATAGAAAATATTAGAAAAGATTTTAATATTTTAACCTAAAGAGGAAAAAGTTTAACTGTTAGTTTTAAAATCAATAATCTTCAATAGTACCTGTTGAATTGTGGAGGTCTGACATATTGCATGAAAAATTGCTCATTGGTTTTAGTATGACCACAATATCGTGCTTGTGTAGAGTCCCTTCATTTACAGTCAGCCTGTAAGTGCTGTTAATGAGTGGATCTATTTTGGTGCTGCAGGAAAAATATTCACTGCTACAACAATCTAGAAAAAAGAATCCATGACATTAAACAATAAGGATGGAAAACTGTATTCATTTAGGAAGGTGATGACGATAGGCCAGCTAATAGAGAACTTTACCTGCGTTAGCCTGGTTTGCCTTGATGTTGAAACAAAGCCGAGTTTCATATAGTTGTTTAAAGACAACAGCTAAAAAAGTAAACAAAAGCAAATAAAAACTGAAGAATCATAAAACAACAAGAACAAAAAGTATAAACAAACAAACAAACAAAAAAAAAAATGTTTCTTGGGACTTTCTTTTTTTTAACAATTAATCCAAACTGACCTGATGGAGGAAAGGGATTATGAGTATTCTCTTTAATACTAATGAAAAGTATGTTTTTGAGCCTGCGTTTACCCTTCATTCCTGTAAAAATATAGGAAAACATATAAAGAACACATAACTGTCCAGGCTGAACCTAATTTGTTTTTTGAAAATCAACCAATGATTTGGTTACTTACCTGAAGCTTTGCAAACACAATTTTGATTCCCAGGTTGGTCCGATGGTTCGCAAGAAACCCTTTTCACACAAGTTGTCATTTTAGATCCAAACTCAAACATGTAATCAATTTTACCTGCAAATTAAAACACAAGCAGAAGTGAACTGAATTTATATAATACCTTTACAGTCATACTGACCTTTCAGATCTTTTAAAACCCGCCACATTTCCCCAAACACAATCATACATCAATGCAGAGATTGATTGCAACTTGGGAATACGCTCCCAACTGGCCAAGGACACATAGACTAGCGATTGGAGATAACTGGAATCAAATCTACATTCTTCAAGATGACTGCAATTACCATAGGGCCACAGTAACCTTAACATGCACACTAGGGAACACAATATAAACTTAATGTCAACTGAGGTTTTTTATTAGAAATGTTATGGTAGAATACCTTGACAAGTCTGTGAATCATTATTAATATTTAAACATGGATTATCCAGGCTCAGTCTGATATTTCTGCCACCTGCAAAGAAAAAAAAAAGATTTAAAAAAGCAGAGAAAGAAAGGGTAAGAAGGGGGATGCTTCAGGGCTATGCGTTCATGGAAGATGTACTTACCTGGCTTTAACCAGTTGTGAAGGTTTCTTATGAACTCTTTAGAATAATGAAAACAACAGTAGACAAGATTAGAAGAGGCACTCAGTGTATGAGGGACTTAAAAAAATATATATATATATATATATCTCAATGAGTAAAGTAAGCAAGTAAGTTTCACTGCTTAGTTCTCATAGCAATAATCTTCAATAGTACCTGTTGAATTGTGGAGGTCTGACAGATTGCATGAAAAATTGCTCATTGGTTTTAGTAAGACCACAATATCGTGCTTGAGAAGAGTCCCTTCATTCACAGTCACCCTGTAAGTGCTGTTACTGAGCTGATCTATTTTGCTGCTGCAGGAAAAATATTCGCTGCTACAACAATCTGGAAAAAAAGATCCATGACATTTAACGTTCAAGATGGTACAATGTCCACATTTAGGAAGGCAAAGATAGGCTAGCTAATAGAGAACTTTACTTGCGTTAGACTGGTTTCCCTGGACGTTGAAACAAAGCCCAGTTCCATTGACTTTATGAAAGAAAATGGCTAAAAAAAAAAGAAAGTAAGCAAAAGAAAAATTTTAAAATGATAATTATTAAACAAGAAAAAATAAATAGCAAGACATTTTTATTTTTGTGTTATTCATTTTTATGTCAGGATTTCTTATTTTTTTACACAATTAATCCAGGCTCACCTGATGGAAAAACAGGATTGACTGCAACTTCTTCAGCACTAAGAAAAAGTATGTTTTTGAGCCTGTGTTTTTTCCCTGTTCCTGTAAAAATATAGAATGACTTAAAAAATACTACACATAACTAGACACAAGATACTATTGCGTCTTCTAAAAAATTAAATGTTTCCTTACTGACCTGAAGCTTCACAAAAGTGGTTCTGGAGTAAAAACCCAGAGCAGAGAGCAAATATCAAAACTGGGATCCAGTGGTGATTTACGACCGACAGCGACATTTTCCAGAAGAGTGCAGGATGGCAGGAGCATAAAAATGGGGCATAAAGGGAGAATTAAAGTATCAGAGCTTGTGGCTGCCTCTCTCAGATGACTCGATTGTGTATCATTACTACAATCCATCTTCTGTGACATCATTACCATTCTTATTTGACTTGCAAATAAAGAGTGGGAGCCATTTACCACAGGGATCCTTTAGTTACAGAAGGAATAAAGTTAGTATTAGTATAACATGAGCTTTTACAGTTTTTTGTTTTTTTAGTATTGTATTGTCCTTTAATAATAGTAATAGCAAGGTGCCATATTATTATCATACAGTAGATGTTGACTATGTTTACCATTTCCTATAGATTCTACCTGCCTTAAGTGGAACACTTCAAGTATTTTGGGGAATTGTTCACAAATGGGGGGTATTAAAGTTTTAGATGTAACCGTTCAGTTTACTTGTTTTACTGGCACAGCCATAAATCCTGAACAAAGACCCAGCCTCCATAGAAGCGGCTGAAATGAGCATCTTCCACTGGACAGCTGGGTACTCCATCCAAGAGCTGTCATTGCTCAATACCAAGAAGAAACATGGGTCGACCCGATAACAGTTGGTATTTGGTTATCTTCCCATTGGCAAAAAGAGCTGGGTCTAAACCCCTGCTGGCAAGCTGTGTGGCCTCTGTACCCCTGCAGCTTGTGTGTCTGGTGACACCATATTATCGCACTTTAATCTGTCTGAATTATTCTTACCAATGCTGTACCATATTTATAGAATGTAAACAGAGTTATTTTCGGATTGTTAGATCATAAGCGACTGGCACAGTGTGTTGACATCCATATGTTGCGCTCAATGGTATCACATAAATTAGTGGGTTAACCGGGCTCTGGCTTTTCCCACAGCATGTTGATCAGAGCTGAGGCGATTTTAACATGGGTCACCTACTGAGTCATTTACCCTGGGTTGACACGGGTCAGTGAGCTGATCCCACTTCCACTAAAAGCTGATTGTTTCCGGGTTTAAACGTTTTTTTCCCCAGCCAATGGGAAAGGGGTATAAGAGGGTTTTCCAGACATGCCCCACCGGATGCTCAACATGTTCTGGTACTTTGAGAACACCTTGGCCTTCAAAAAAAATGTGGCAGGAGGTTTGATTGGAAGGATTTTTATTTTCAAATTTTCACCATTCACATTTGCATTTTTCAAACATTTTATTTAGCATTTAATATGTGGATGATCATCTCTTCTTAGTGGTCAGGAGTTTGCAGCTTTTTCTAACCTAAAATCCCTTTTACTACTTGCACCGATTTTCATGCATATGTTTTTTAAGTTTCTGTTTTGGCATCTTTTATGTATTTGCATCAGCTTTGTGTTTGCAGGACATATCCACTTTTCCTATTTTCCATGATGCAGCTTTTCTCCTTTGCATCTTTGCATGTTTTGTGGGTTTGTGTTGTAATTTCTCTTAACACCTTAATTCCCTTAGATTATACCCTTTAATTCCTACAGCAGAACCACATTAAAACAATATAAGAATCACATGACATTAAAAACTGTTTATAATTCTTTAATATAACAAGGTAGGGCAAATAGTTGATATATCAACCCTGAGGCTACATGCAGTCGAAAGAACAAACAGGCCCCTATCTCCAGGGTGCTCCAGCTTTTAAACTAACTGAACTAATTTCCTGTCTGACAATGAGTACTTTCTTAGTGAGTCGGTGAGAAAAACTGAACTAAACTAAAATGATTTGTTTGCTTCAAAGGGTGTTACCTGTTAACAACAAATGCTCCCTTATTACATGAATGTACACTCACCGGCCACTTTATTAGGTACCCCATGCTAGTAACTGGTTGGACCCCCTTTTGCCTTCAGAACTGCCTCAATTCTTCAAGGCATAGATTCAACAAGGTGCTGGAAGCATTCCTCAGGGAGTTTGGTCCATATTGACATGATGGCATCACACAGTTGCCGCAGATTTGTCGGCTGCACATCCATGATTCAATTCTCCC